TGTCATATTTATTGATCCAATGTATTATAATAGCGTGATGCACTTACATGCGATTGACATTACAGAAAGGATCTACGGGAGTATTAACATTGACGGAAGAAGAGAAGAGAACTTTGATAGCCGAAGGATATCCCGTGCCTACAAAGCTTCCACTAACAAAACAAGAGGAGAAATCTCTAAAAAAAATACGAAGGAAAATTAAGAATAAGGCACGTATAATAAAATTTCGAGTATTCCAATTCTTTCAAACGTTGTTCAAGCTGTGGAATTATGAACGTGATGAAAATTGTAATTTTTTGTTACGTATATTTTTTTGCAGATATCAGCGCAGGAATCACGAAGAAAGAAAAAGGAATATATGGATGGTTTAGAGAGGCGGGTTACCATGTTGACAAACGAGAATTCGTCTTACAAAGACAAGCTGAATTGTCTAGAAGAGACGAATCGCGAGCTAGTGAAGGAGTTACAACGTCTTCAGACCTTGCTGCAGCTACAACAATAAATTTATTCATTTCTATCTAGAATAGCCTAAATTTGTTTGGTATCGTTAAATTTTTATTTTTAAGAAGACTTAATGTTAATTAACGTTAAGTTTAATTGTTCTCCCTAAAAATGATTATTTGATCTGACGAATATTGCAACGATTCGCGATAACGTCAACGCATATAATGAAACAATTTTATATTGTTATAAAGATTGAAAATTATAAAGTTTTTTAAAAAATATTTTAGATTTTCAGATCTTTTACGGATACTAATATAGATTTATCTATAATCGTTAAATTGCTCTTCCATATAGAAACTTTAATCTTTATAATTGTTATAAGAAGATGGTATATTTTTTAGCGAAAATGGTATCGCTAAGTCATAGATCAGAGTTAAAAAGAGATATATTTTTAGGAATTTTTAGTGCAATTTCTTTACATTCCTAGAATGTCTTCCTCACATACAAAATACGACGAAGTATCTTGTACAGATTGAAAACTCATGAAAGATATCCCAAATATTGCAAACTGCTTCAATTTTTTGAATAACAAGATTTTACGCCAATATAGTAAGTCCTTACATTCTTTGCTAAATCAACATATTTTTGCCAGGAGTGCCTTTACGAATTAATTTCCATATTTCTTCCAGCGTTGTGTTTTCCGTACCGGAAAACATAGAAGGCTAATTTCCAATTATATATTTGACTTAAACTTTTTAATTTCAATAAAATAAAAATATTTCAGAAATATAGAATTCGAATGGTCCATCCGCGATGCTTGCGTGTTGCCGGCTATTGCCAAACTCGATGCAATGAGGATTTTCGAATAGACGTCCAAGTATAAACAGCTTTTGATTATTCCCTATATTTGTGCTTCAAAAACGTTTTAAATCGTTTAGGACCCGAAAAAGTACATTAGGGGTCTATAAGAGTATATTATATATCGGTACATATAATCTACTTTGATTAGTTTTATCATTAGATTCGTCTATACATACATACATTCACATATATACATATATATACGTATATACACACTCTAGGCAAAAAGTTCAGATTGCACTGCTCTGAGTAGCATTAAAATGTGTGTGTCCGCCAGTTGTGTCCATTGTCAGCTTCTGAATTTTGGCAGATGAAGATTCCTGAACATCCCTGCCACAAGAAACATTAAATAAGCTTCTCGCCAGAATGCTACGACCTATAAATGCAAATGTAACAATTTTATCACATCTTTGTAAGTGTATCTAAACTTTTGGCTTGGAGTGTATATATATACAGTGGCGTACAAAAGTTTCCGGCCAATAACATTTTGTATTTTAATTTATAAAAAAAACCTAATAAGATTTTAATTATCGGATATTAATACAAGATGTGGATAACGAAATCTTGTACTAACACCTATAATAATAATAATTTTATCAGGCTCTTTTTTATAAATTAAGATACAAAATGTTACTGGCCGGAAACAAAATATACATACAATATATGACACATTTTATAGGTAAAAACGAAGAGAATATGAAGGAATACTATGATTATTATAATATTATATAGAAAAGTGTAACGTGAAAGTTCGATGTAATCGAAGTTATTGTGTTTGTGTTTTACAAGAAGATATTCATTTTATTGTATCTATAATAAGATTATCATTATCATATAGATCAAATTGGATAATACAGTTGCGTCAAATCGATAGTGTGCTATTTTTTTCGGACACTGTCACTAGCACTAAAACAGGTGTTGGAGTAAGGCTCTAAGATTATCGACGCATTAATTCTTCGTGTTAATTCAAAATGCGAAGTAGAAAAATTTGTAGAATATAAGTTTACGAATGTAAAATACATTTTGCTTGTCTATGAAGAATCATCTATAATTTGCCATGGCGTACAATGAAAGTCGATTATTCGAGCGGTGAGTTTTAGCTTCATTCTTCTTGACTTTGTTATATGTAGATAAATATATTATAATCGTGCCCTAGAAAATATATCGTAAAGTGATACAATTTTAAATATGATACAATTCTGAACGAAGTAAGATTTGAATTCAATTTTCAAGATTTAAGTTTGGTTTTTTTTGTTTGGCAGTACCTTTTAATTTGTATCCTCTATATATATAAAAGTTACAAAACTTAAATCTCAAATCTGGATTTTTTAAATTTTAAAATTTGGATTAAATCTTATTTCATTCAAAATGGTGCCATGTTCAAAATTGCTTAAATCTTATAGGATATTGTCGGTTTCCTGATCTTTTTAAACTGTATTATTTTTTGGTGAAGCTGTATTATTTGTGCTGTAAAAAAAACTTCGATCGAGCTAATTGTTACTAAATGTTATGGCCTCACATGCCAATCAAAGTGACTTTTATTAATACAATTTTGTTTCATGATTAGCGTAGTCATGATAGCGTGAGAAGTCGCGCACGATAATGGCGAACCTCTCAACTACTTATCACATGAAAGTCGTAGAAAGGGACCAATGTGTGCATGATAAAACTTTTTCTTCTTCTTCTTCCTCTCCTTTTCTATTTGCTTCACGTAATTGCCAAATAAATAGTAGGATTTAGTGTTATATCACGTGTCCAAGAAATAGTACTCGTTTTAAATGATTACACATCCCTCGTATGAATGTCTATAAAATTCCAGCTATTATCAATATTATTTAAGTATACAGAATATGCATTTTGATCGGCCGACATAATTTTTTTATCCTGTAAGTCTATTACTACAGTATAAAATATGTCGTTATTGTAAATAGTATATGCATATAACATGGCTATACAGAATTTTCATATATATGTTTATCTTTAAAATTTTTATATGCATTATATTTAATTAACAAAAATAAATTATTATGTAGTCAGAGCTTTGGTAAAAAAAATTAAAGTAATTTTAAATTTATCAAAGAGAGAGCTTTATTACTAATTTTCTTCTTCTAAGAAAATCATGCTGTATACTTAAAGAATTGAATTTCAGAATAATTATATACAAATGAATAATTTTTAGAGTTTTTATAAAAATTGATGAAGGGACTTGTACTGAAGATATTGTTAGAAAAGCGTTAACGAAAAAGACAATAAACGTAACAAATGATAGTAATTGATGAGAGTACAAGAGTGGGAAAGAACTTCCGATATATTCCGCGAATTCTATAAGCACTGATCGGCTAAGAATTTTTATTCTTTTACTACGTACAAATAACACACACGATTTTTAATTACCACATTTACACGTGATAAAGAAATAATTACATGTTTGTACAAAGCAGCAGAGTAGTGATTTTTATGAAAAAAAAAAAAAGTTTAATATATTCTATGAGAAAGCTTTATAGATAATTATAATACATATACGTTAATAAGAAATTATTAAAGTTATACATTATAAATGATTATATTTTACGATAAATTACAGAAACGTTCGACAATGAAGGAAGTCGCATAGTTTTCTATTAAGATACACAATTTTATCATTATATTATTGTTCTTGTTATTATAATATAATGTATCATTTATTTCTCTTTATCATTCATTTATCTTCCGTGCGAGCGTTCATGCATCTTTATATCATGTACTTGGTATATATATATATATATAAATAAAGATAATATGAATATATGAATACATATTAGACGCATGTCGAATTTAGTGTGCATGTCTATATAAAGCATGGTACCACGTCGTCAATAAACATGCGGCGCTGCACCTTCAAATGTGGATATTGTCCGACAATAAAAAATAAATCCTTGTGAACCAGAGTATCAACACTTTATTTAATTTACAAATTCGCACTATATGCTAAGGACAGTCCAGCCATGTACTAATTTAGCCATGGAAAACAGACTTCAACATTGAAAATGATTTAAAGTATAGGAAACATTTCTGAATATTAAAATATGAGATATTTTCACTATTTATATAGCTGTAATGAAATTAACTATAAACAATAAGTAGAGTATATTGGGTGTACAGTTACCTTATATTATTTTTCTATAATGAAACATATTTCTGCAATTAGAATCAAGAAATGGAAATTACTTATTTATAACGCCGTTATTTTCCTTATTATTTTTCTATTTGATTTGGCGAATTTTTTATGACTGTAACATCAGGATTAGAAAGTCACTTGTTACTTGTAACGAGTTGGAATACTTTTGTTATTAAAATAATTAACTCAGCATTTTTAAATTGTTACTTCTTAGTCATTATTTGTAACGAGATATAACGTTACTCGTTACGAATTATTTTTTTTAATAAATAAACGCAATGATGTAAGTTATCTTTCAAAGTAATTTTCCCAAACTTAGCGCAATCTCAGCGTTTAGTTATTATTACAATCATGAAAAATTATTTTTTAATATCATTGTTAAATATCATTATTTTATTATTATTATAAAAAGTAACTGTTAAAGTAACGGAATAATGACTCTTCCATTCCCTGATTAGGATTGTAAAATTTAATCGGAATGATACAATATAAATTAAATGTATACAAGTGAAAACGTAGATTTTCATTTCTGTCACACTTATTCTTCCGTATCCATCTCCTCATTTTCTAGTTGATCTTCTAGCTTTCCTTTTAGAGCAGTAAGGCTGAGAGATACATCTGTGTCGAGAATTTTACGTTCTTTCACCTTGTTGCTCTTGGATCTGTATAAAGGATTTTCGAATCTACCACCCACGACTTGCTTTATCCCACCGACATCAACCTCTCGACCACTCGTTCCAGGAACGTTGCCGATCTGAACGTTGCCTTCAGGAACATTCTCAAAACGAGCGAAACCATGCTTCTGCTTATCCGCCCGAATTCCATCTCGAATGGATGAGATAGCTTCCATACATCCCGAGAGAACGCTGCAAATATTAGATTTCGTCTTAACAAGATCGATAGATATATCTAATACGCGCGACGCGCATTAAAATACTTATCTGAACTCTCTATAATAAATAATTAAATACACATCATGTATATGTTTATACATAACGCTGAAAGATAATTCAATAGAAAGTTACTGATCTATCATTATAGCGTAAATAAAATGGGAGTTTTTATCTGAAAAGTTTAGGCATCAAATAGAATGTATTTGGCGAACTGAGAAGATTATACGGTTGCTAATTCTATTTAATTTGAAGCCCGCTGAGAGTATAATTATTTAGTCGGTAGGCTCGCCGAATTACTTAAATATTAAATGTTGAGGGATGAGGTGCGCGAGACGACACCTCAATTTGAAGCGAGTTGCGGAACGACGATGAAGAAATTAGAAATAATCTCAACTGTCCGTCGTCTCTCCGTTCCATTTCTTCTATAGCGTTATATGCTTGTATTGCGCAAATCTACTTTGAAAATCCGCCAAATATACATAATATACAGATATTGTATAAAATATAATGTTATAAATATAATAGTTATCCTCAGTTTTTAAGGTCTCTTTTTATATACAGAATAGATTTGTTATCATAAAATCAAAGAATGATGTAATACATAATGTACATTAACGCTGTTCATGACAAAGCGGCATAAAAACGAAGACAGAACGATGATACTTACTGCTCTAAAGAATAACCAAAATAAAGAAAGATAAGCAGAAGAAGAGTGATCACGACAAGGGGTGTCCCGAAAAGCAGTCCAAGCGTAACAGCTAATCGAGAATCTTTCATTGCTGCACCCGCCGTCTCCGCATTTGTCACGTCAATTCCTGTATCTAATAAAGAAATATATGAAAAATTAGCATTCCTAGAGAAAAGATTTTGTCAATCAATTTGATTGTTCCTTTCAAAGAGAAAATAAATAACTTGTTTCTTTAGAAGCAGTGAACTATATTTTTCTATTTATTTGTTAATTTTTTTTTGCTAATTTATGCGATAGAAAATTGCCTTTTAAAATTGAATAATTGTAGTCGTTTAATTTTTATTCGAGACCCAAGTAACTGAAGTAAATCAATTTTTCGGTTTATATAATATTGTTTAAAGATTTATCATAAATTAAAAAAAAGATTGAATAACTATATGTACTAACTTTGCAGTATTTTCCGCAGATTCTCCACGGCTGCCTCTATCGTGATGCTGGAATAACTCCCTTTTTCTTTTAAAAGAATTTCTACACCTCCATTCCAAGTGCATCTAGTGTGCCAAGCAACTTTCTCCGTATATCCTTCTAAAGCTTCATCCGCCACGGTTTGTACTGTGACTAAGGAAATTTGCTGCGATATGGACACGCGTCCACCACAGTACGGACAACAGTGACCTTCCACCTAAAAAGCAAAATAAATCATCATAATCGAATAATAATGGGGAAGTATCTAATAAATCAATTAAAATTTTAACACCAAAAATACCGAGTAATTATTACTTCTAAAGCGAAAAAGTTACAATTGTATTACAATGAAAGTCATGACGTGCAAATATTTGCTTTATAATAGATGATAATGCTAGGATATCATTTGTTTGCTTGGTCCTTTTAGTACAGCATAAGAAACATTGATATTTCTAATATTAAATTGCTGCAGAGTCTCACTTTAAGAGGATATTCGCACTCCGTAAATCCGCACCTTGGCCTCTGAATGGCACAAATTTCCTCGAGATAATCGTCCTGAGTGTTTCCCTGACAGAAAACTTTCTTACAATTGAGCATACTTATAGGCCGCCATAACAGATCGCTGTACCTAAAAATATAATCTTTTATAAAATATGATTTATCACATATAAAATTCCATTTGCGAGAACGCAGCAAACGTTATGTTCGGGCTTACTTTACGGTGAACCTGCCTCTGGAAAATTCTCTACGATCTTGGAAGTTTTGCCATTCCCATTCGGTAAATGACTGCCTCTCGTTTGACAGCCGAATTGACTTCACTCCTACCTCTCTTACAGGTAGAAGAATACTCAAAGTGCGATTCTCGCTCGGCAAGACAATGTTGTCATAGCTGCAGGGAACACGCTCGAGATGCGGTGTCGCTATCGAACTACCATTCCAATTTGCGGGATCAGCCCAAAATATGCTACCTTCCTTTGACCACCGACTAATTTTTGCATCCGTCCGTGAATTGCTTAGCTAACACACACATATAAATTTTTCATTATTACAATGCTTCTTTCTTTGTTGTACCATGGATCCGCTTGGTAAGCATAAGTCTTGGTCAATAATTTAACGTTAAATAATTTAAATATCTTTCTAACATCATTGTTATTAATATTTAGATAAAATAATTTCACTACCAATAAGCATGAAAACTTCTTTGGTTGATAATAATTTAATTGAAAAAGCATTCTTTAAAAAAAATAAGTAGAAATTTTGACTATTTAATTTACTTATAATAATTACACAAATAAATATGTATGGTTGCCTACTTTTTAATTTTTTTTAACACTTATTTATGTTTTAGAGGTTTAACGAAAGCCAATACTTGGTGTCAAGAAATTCATTAAAATAATACTGAACGGGAAAAGATCTAAAAGTCATGACGCAAAGAGTTAAAATAGATTAAATGTTAAATCATAAAATCAACGATTTTCATTTGTGATGTAACACATATTAATAACAAATACCAATTATAAATTGCGAAAGATGAAATAAAATACAGCAATAAAAATGTCTTTATTTTAGAATTTATTTAGTATAATTAATTACACTGTGTGACCGATTTCGACTTTTAAAATTTTCCAAAGGGCGCGTGGGTTTGATTGTGTCGGGGAACACCGCCCACTATCATTTTCCCAAGAGATTTGGTAAAGTTAGATCGTAGAAGAATGGGGCATAAATTTGAAGTTATTAATTTCGAGGAGTACCAGTTGCGCTATTCTCATGGTTTTGAGATCAAATATTATCACAAATACGTAAACGTACATACATACACATACTCACACTCACACTTATGCGCGCGAGCGCGAACTTTGTTTTGCCAATACATGAGATAGCATTAGATAGTAGGATCTGTGAAGCTGGCACGACATTCTGTCGATATCAAAAAAATTACAACAGTTCCAGTAGCATTTTTCATAGTTCTACAGTTCTATCTAGAAATAAAAAATAGTTCCGCAGTTTTAATATGAAGAAACTAAAATTGAAGATATGGCGTGCTAACTACGCGAATCTGGCACGTCAGATTTCCTCTAAAGTACGAGAAAAAAATTTTTTTTTGCACTTTTAGCAACAGTTCCCGATAGTTCTACTAAAAACCAACTAAGTTATGCATTTTCAAAACAAAATAACAACATTTAACAATTTTTATACATCCTATATATAGAAAATGGCATAAAACTTCTAGAAAAAGTGACGTGCTGACTATTTCTATCAGTTTCAACGGCAGTTCTCGTTAGTTCTCACAGAGTTCTATGCATTGCAATCATTTATAAGCAGAGTTCCGGCCTCTACATATTTTTAATCAATTTTTTAATACCTGAGTCCAGCACGACACTTGTAGAAAAAGTTTTTCTACAAGTATATTTGACCTCAAATCGCGCTACCTGTATTCCTCAAAATTCATAATTATAAATTGATTCCCCATTTTTGTACGATCTAACTTTGCCAAATCCCTTGGGAAAATGGTAGTGGGCCGTGTGCCCCCGACATAACCAAACCCACGCGCCCTTTGGAAAATTTTTGTGGTTACACGTAGTGTTATTATTTAAGTATTCAATATTGTTATTACATTAAAATTGTATTATTATTAAAGTGTGTACAAAAAGAATATGAAAAATTATATGATTAAATTTTCAATAATTTATAAAGATATAATACAGTTTGAGTTTGCAAATTTTCAGTATTTTATGATGTTTGCTGCTAATAAATATTCTGGTAAGCTAAATTTTTCAATCAATTAAATAGCAAACGGAACGTCAACATTGAAATTTTAATATTGTAATTATCATGAGCGTATATCAAAACAGTTACGATATTTTGTAAATAAGTAATATATTCCATTCGCGAACACGTTAAACTTAAAAGAAAAAAAGAATGATTAAATATAAATACAGCCTAAGTCATAAATATAAAACAACCTTAATTTATTGCATCTTCTTGGAAAAAGAAAATAATAAATTCCTAAAAAAAATTAACCGAATATTCAAATTGTTATAAAAATAAATATTATCTTTTTGTATAAACTATTTCTTCATTTATTTTTCGTTAGATGTAAGATGTTTGTGTTAATTTATAGATACTTTATTCCTATTGCTAAAGCTGCATCCCGTTTTTTATGTACCCGATTATTCTTATTAACTTATTAGCCATTTGTAATAATATCTTTATAGCTTGACCTTACCTGCAATTTACCATTTCTAGGCAGTACTAACAATCCCTGCCTCGGCAAATCAATTCCGGATAGTCTGAGATTGTCCGTTTCGAAGATGCCAATCGCGTGTCGGGTCTGCTGAGGAAAGATCACATGATCGTCAATCTCTGGCACACGATTGTTCGCCCAATTGCTCGCGGTTCGCCACTCTAGATCCGGAAGCCAGTATTTCTGACCAGAAAGCAGGGCCGAACATCTTGATATCAAGGTAACGTACAACACAATATTCCAATGAAGCTCGGAAGGGACAAGCATGTTATGAACAATCAGTCGATGAGAAGGGATACGCGATAAACGTGCTGCTCTTTAATTAATTTTCATTTACGCGAAGATAAAGAGATATCAAATAGTATAGCGAATTTAGGTACTCGCTGTCAATGATTTGCGATAAATCCCAAAAATAACGCGACAAGAAGTTGAACACGGTTGGTAATTTCGATAACTGAAAGCTACTCCATTATGATCGAAGTCAATTGGGGGCGTGTCTGTGATTCATGATAGTCTGACGTGAATTTGTCACGATAAGGTCGCCATAAGTCTTGTAATTCGTTAAAAACGAAGTTATTATTTGTTATCAAATCTTTTTTGATGTTTAATTATTAATTTATATTAAAAACTATCTGTGCGATTAAAAATTATTTTTTAAATAAATTTTAAGTATCGTTGATTATTATTAACAAATATTTAATCTAAGCATGAAACACATAGGAAGTTAAATTTCCACAATTTGTATTAAATATATTGATATATTTGCATTCATTTTATTCATTATTATAATAGTATATGCTTGATAGAATAAATCTTCATTATTACATCACACGAGAAAACAGTAACATTTATTGTTAACAAAATTTTCATTCAATTAATAATCAATTAAATAAAAGCATATTAAAAACGTTCGCATATGTCACATACTTGTATATACTCGCATATATATATGACGGAAAGAAAATTACAAGATTTACTATGACATTGAAGACATTAGTATAATTGCAATAGCTTTATTTTTTTCTATAATTTATTTGTTTTAGAAATATAATCGTCGAACAACAAAGACAAATATAATACTGCCGCGATTAAGATAGCTTATAATCTTTTAGAATATAGACACACATTGAAATATTATTTCTATCTATCGCACAATAAGTTGCGTTTAATTGTTTTAATTATTGACTACATTACAATTTAATTCATTATAATACAAAAATGCAATTAACTTAATGATTTATTTTAACCGACAGTATAAGTATTATATTCTATAATTGTGCAATATTAAAAAATTCGTTTAAAAAACTTTATTTTGAAATGAATTTTGTACCAGCTTTTAGAAAAAAAGAAATATCGACATTTCATTACCAATCTTAACTTTCATGGACAATTCGTTCTGCTCTCGACACTCAATAATTCGTACAACGTGGTATTGACAATATTGACATATGAGACAAGAAAACGTATCTACAACTTCTTCAATAAATATAAAGCACCCTGAATTTACTGCATTTTCTTAGAAAAAGTGATAATAAAATCCAAAGAAGAATTAATAATATACCAAAATTGTTATAAAAATAAATATTTTTTATATAATTGTTTATTAATTTATTTTTTGTTAGATGCAAAACGTTTGTGTCAATTTTGTGGAGGTGCTTTATATCTTTGGCGATATATATATAATATTATTTTAATGAATTTAATCTCGATAGTGTCGAATTTATCAGAGAGAAAATAGAAATATTCATTATTTAATTTATTATTTACCAATAAATCTTATCAGCAAGTATATGTGTCAAATAAATAGAGTGTCAACATGTTAACTTTACAACAGTATTTTGCTACTAATATCCAATCCGATACACCTAAAATTCAAAATATTAAAAAATTAATAAATTATACAATTTTTTTAATTATCTATCTGTGTTGTTATTGCATTTTACAAAAATATTTTTGGAAACAAATAAATCTGATATTTCTTCTAGAATTAGCCAGCTAGAAGTTAAAGTGAATGAGGAAGATAATATAAATTCGTGCCCTTGAGGAACGCATTACTGACTCAAATCCTTGTTCTCTTCATCTACTTCATTGCCCAAAGTACCGAATAAGTATTTTGGGACTATAACATCGTTTAGTTTTCCAGATACAGTTTCTCCAGTCGCCAATTTCCAAACTCGTTTTCCGATTCCAAAGCCGTATTGATGGTTACCGCGTTTGTCTTCTATAAAATCGTTCGTGTTGTCCTCGGGAGATTGATACTTTCCCATGTCGTCGATCGGGAAGTAGTCCAAATTCAAGGGATGATATTCATTGTTGCGCTTTCCAATACCGAAACCATAGTTTCGGAGACGTTTGCCAATACCGAACGAGAATTGCCGGGTCCGCTACACATTAAGTTTCAACACATTTTATAATTGTTAATTATAAATAAATTGAAAAATTTTATAATTGTTAATTATATTATTGAAATACGATTTGTGGAGATCCAAACACAAGTAGGTACTTGTCGTAATAAAAGTTCATACTTCTGTGCGTGCGTGCGTGTGTTAATTACAAGAATTGATTACGAAATTTTATTGCACTATTTATTCGGGTGTTTACTGTATTTGTGACAAATCCTTAATTAAATTTTTTGTAACAGAAAAATTCGTTTTAAAATAAAAAAAGAGGATATTTCATTTCATCTAGTATACTCACTTTATCTTCATTATTGTCAATCCATCGCTTTCCGATGCCGAAGGTATAAAGGGGTAGTCTCTTGTATTCGGCAATGTATGCCCTTTTCATAGGTTCTTCATTATATTCCATCTTGTTCAATAACGAATGCAATCGTGGAATGTACAAAGACGAGGAAGGTGCTTCTTCTATTGCCGCTGCTGATCGTCCAACAACGCTCAACAGATAGAACATAATGATTCGCATAATGATTAAACTCGTTCTTGTTTTCATGATGCCCGATTGAATCTGAAAGCACAAAGGTCATGGAAAATTGTAATCTACATATAATGAACTATCGGATACAGGGACAGAATTTCATCCTACTGTGTGTGATAATGTTATTTGAACTTTCACGGTAGTTTTAGATTGAGTTTTTAAATTCACACACGTAAATTCACCTTTATGAAAATTGCAAAGGTTAACTTCTATATCTATACATTTAAACCGCTATATTCCCGAATGTAATTCCAGAATGTATAATGATATAATATAATTTCAGAAATGGTTAAAGTTCATTATATTCATTTTTTAATGTAATATTATTATAATCCAGAAATGGCAAATAACGCTTATAATATACTTAGGTTATAATGTTATTACTATTCCCAGTTACTTTTTTATAATAACAATTTAGTAATAACATTGTAGTTTTACAGGACAATAACAATAATGTTTTGATAAAAAAATTTGAATTCGAACAGTCATTTTTTAAAGTAATTCATTATCATTACGCGTTTCTCATTTAAAAAAAAACTTGTTATTTTACTTGTTATATAACAAATAAAAATAACGCCGTTACAAATGTATTACTTTTTTTTTATCAAAAAGTTACTTTTATTACTTAAAGAATAAAACGAGTTACTTTTTTCAATAAGAAATTATTATAACAAGTTACTTTCAAGTGACTGCTCTAACCCTTTTGTTATTATTATTGTTATAAAAAATTGTAATGTCATTACCAAATTGTTATTATAAAAAAGTAACGATAATAGTAACAACTTAGCAAATAGCGCATTACTTGTCACCTCTGCTAATGTATTCACTACTTTATTTTTATCAATAAATGCGCGTATTTATTTCTGAGATACTATAGTACATGTAACATAAATTATGTGTATATTTATCGATAAAAGTGAGGTATAAACATGACCTATATGTATATATAATAACATAATGTATAATTAAATTAAAACATTCAAAACGAGATTATAAAATAACAGTATTTCTTACAATAATTCGAGAAACATAATCTGGTTATAACATTTTACAGTTTTTGAACATGGCCGGAGAACACTACCGCGTCTCCTGATAACAAGAATAAGTGCTTTCACGATATTTTCAGAAATCTTAACACCTATCTTTATCAGTGAACGTGAAAGTCGGTTAACGTAACACTATGCGGAAGATTTTATGGGCTCTTTAAAGCAGAGATGCACGCAAATGGAATTCTACCATGTAAAAATAAAATGAAGAGTTATTTACGACTGGCGTGGGATAAATGTCATTGCAGTAGCTTCTATTCGTAGAGGTGTCGCCAATTTTACGACGTGGATTCCAACAGTCGCAGTGTGTACTCTATTTCTTTACAAACATATTCACTGCCATTGGTCCAAATCCTACATTAAATCTGTAGAAAACCGAAGATACTTTTATTTTTACATTCCTTTTTGCGGAACATTTTATCGCAAAATGGATGGAATAAAATTGATCCATAGTGACAACATTTTCGGAATCTTTTTATAAAATTGTTTTTAATAAATTAAAAAATTTTTAATTATTTTTAAATAATTTTAATAACTTTCTTTTTAAAACAAATTTCTCCAATTTTTACACAAAATTTGAAACGTTTAATGTTTTTTTTTTTCTTTCAGAAATTATAGAATAAAATATCTTACATTAGAATAATTCAGAATCCGCATATAAGAAAAATTCTAAGAAAAAATATAGACTTTCTTATTATAATTTTAAAAAGTGTTTTTATTTGTACACAGATTTTAGAAAAAATTCACGGATTTGTTAAAACATTTTACCTACTAAAATATAAACACTTATATGAATTTTATGTTAATAATAGGACTAAATGTTGTATCAGTAAAAATTTCTATTAATTTAAAAGTAAAAAGCATTATGAACGTACGGCATCAACGTATGTACATATACATATGTGACCAATGCAGTAAATATTTAACAGCCAAAAAAGAGTGTACGGTCTGACGTGATTGAATGTTTGATATCGTTATACAGCCGCCAGGAGCGAAATCCTCTACGGGCTCGTTCGTTCAATATTTGATGGTGAAATATGACAGATTACGAATCCTCCTTTGTCCCCCTTGGTCACGCTGCTTTTCGAGAGGCTTGATAGGATCAAGAGGGCGAGATCAAATAGATATAGAAAAAAATTGCAAAGATCCATGGAAAGTTCTTACATGCTGAGGAAGTAAATCATTTCCGGTTACGGCGCATTTAGACACGACGTTTATAGATATACCTTTTTCCATCGTCGAGATGAAATGTAGAATATTTCATTATTTATACTGTTCGTGCAACACCAAATGCACGTGTTAAATTTGTATATGCATGACTAAACAATCTTAATTAAGCAGGTAAAAATTGTAAAACCCACGCAGTCTGCAATGTTTAATTACCGGTGGACCGTAGAGTCGAATTAAAGCATAAAATTAAAATGGCGATTCCATTAGGGAAAAAACGGTGTCCGTTTTTTTTTCCTAATGGAGAAGAGGAGTAATAAATGTTTCCGCAAGTCGACTCAACTCGCTTACGTGAGTCGCTAATTCCTCATTAATAAATGAACAAAAGTTAATGAAGATTTCATATCTAATTCATAGTCGCTGTACATATATTACATATATAGGTTCGCTTGGTTTTGTCAGTAGACGGCAGGGTTGTAAATAATTAATTACTTTTTAAATTAAAATACATATTTAATTGACAATTGATATGGGAAGATTCAATTAAATATCGTTTAATTTACAATTGATTGAAACAAATTTAATCGAAACTCTTTAATTGACGATTGATTCGAGAGGAATTAATTGAAAGTCGTTTAATTGATGATTCATATGAGTGAATTTAATTGGAGGTAATTCGATTAATGATTTATTTAATTAACCAAATTAATTGAAGATTCGATTGACAATTGATTTAAGGAAGTATTCTCACTTTTAGCATGGGCTTCACAAAATCAATTTTTTTTTTGTTTTTTAATATAGATACTGCAAACCTTTATATTTAAAAAAAAATTGATTTTGTGAAACCCTTTTTTTAGATCAATTTATACTTTTGGTCTGCTAAATATTTAGGTACTTCATCAATTGTTCTTTCGAATATATACCTTTGAAATGTGACAATCTTGATAAATATTTATGGAATGCTCCTCACTGAGCTAACTTTCAATAATAAGGCTCGAGATTACACCGCATTCTACATCAAACTTTATTTACATTATAATGTAACATTCATGGGTTCTCATTGAATTTCTTTTGTTATTGATACGTGCTGAAAACTTTTTTTATCTTTTATCGCAATGTTTGCAGCAGGAATCAATAAAAAAAGATAGAATAAGAATAATAGTAATGCATCGAAAGATGGCGCAACCAAATTTTTTCTCATATCTATTATATTTTTTCTTATAATTTTTTCATATTATAGAATATATTCTTTTACCGTTCGCTTCGACATTCATTTTAGACATTTATGTTTACGATAGATATATTCCTTTAATTCTTTTTAAATAAATTTTGTAAATACAAAGAATATTAATACTACGTAGACAATTTATTTGGCCGTTAATTTATTTGGTAGTTAATTATATATTTATTTATAGTTGAAAATAGTAGGTTCGAATACTCCTTTTTTTATTCTTTTTGTTTAATGTTTGCTTCAATTATATATGGTAACATCTCCACGTGCGACATATGCGTTTTATATTTTTATACAATGGATGGTCCTTGTATGAATGTTAAAAACCACAGTGTACCGAAAATTGCGTTAAAAAAACTATGCAGCGTATATAAAACAAACATTGAAACTCGGCATTTTTGCTAACGTGTATAAACATTTTACTATTTTCTTATAGACTATCACAAAAAGAAGTTAAACGATTATTTAAACATCAATCTAATAAAGAAACTCACGCAAATTGTTTAAAAATTTTTTTTAATTTTGCTTCTTTGGTTTTCTTTTAAATTATCATTTTTTTCCTGTCCTTAACTTACCTGTAACTTTGCCCATAAACTAACTATGATTTAAAAACTACCTCTATATAGACTACTATACATATAATATATAAGATAGTCTTATATAAGATAAGAACCGATTATAAATATAACTGTTCATCTTTTGCAAAAAGTATTATATATGTATAACATTGCTTAAACGCATTTGGTCGCTTCGTCTCGAAATCATAAATAGCAAATATTGCCATCGTATTGATAACTGATCTTTACATGTTTCTATGTAAATGACATGCGATTTCGCGCCTTCCGTTTTGATAAACGATTCGTTACTTCTCCGATAGCGCGCCCACCTGTGTTTACTTCATGTACTTCTACACGTTATACACGTCACATGTAACAATGGCAATGATACTGAGACATTGTTGCGATATACTACAAGTGTCTACTGGTGTCTACAGACCTACAGACTCTAGGGTGCCTCTTCTGAAATGATAACTATGTTCGAGACGATAATATTATTATCTTGTCTTGTCATGCAACCGCGAGAATAAATTTTCATTTTGGGCGCGGAAATTAGATTAATGTCGCTTAAAGACATTCATTTTACCAGCGAGAGTGGAGAGATGATAATAAAATTAAATCTCTTTGCACTCCCTCGACCGCTTTAGAACACCTTTGAATTTTATTATTATCTCGCGCGAGATAATTATCGAGCATATTAAAAAGGATCATTAATTTCGTTGTGATTTCAATTTGTATCAAACTCTCAGAACGCAATTTTTGTTAACATCGCAATTTTTGTGGAACTTTAATAACGCTTGATGATCTTCTTTTAAAAAGTGTAACAATTTTCCTGATTCTATTTTGATTTGCATTTACATGAGTTCCGAATGTCACTTGGGATGTGACCGGTGATTTTAATAGCCGTCATTTCTGCATTTAGTTGGATCGATGAGAGATTATATATTTATTTGCATAATAAATAATTCCGAGGCGATAATTATCAGCAGTGATTATAAATGAAGCAGTAAATGA